CTTCAGACTATAATTAATCATCATTATCTTTATTGTCTCACTGAAGAATGAAGGCACCTGAATGCCTTAGCTCTTTTGTACCTTTTACTTATGATATGTATTCTCCTATAGGCTTTTAGTTGTGTTTTGATTTTTTTTTTTATTCCAACAATTTAGAATTTGTTGTTATCATTTTCATAATATAAATGTTTGGATTTATTTGCATATTTATTTGCATATTGGTTTTGTTGTTTTTTTCTTTTTTTTAAGATTTCATTTATTTATTTCTCAGAGAGAGAATGCAAGTAGGCAGAGTGGCAGGCAGAGGGAGAAGCAGACTCCCTGCTGAGCAAGGAGCCCATGATGCGATGTGGGGCTCTATCTCAGAACCCTGGGATCATGACCTGAGCCAAGGCAGACAGACGCTTAACTAACTGAGCCACCCAGGCACTCCCTCTGGGGGTTTTTTACATCTCATTTTCTCTCTAGAATAATTTTCCTTCTTTCTGAACCAAATTCTTCAGTAATTAACTTAGGATAACAAAATCACTCAATTTTTGTTTTCCTAAAAGTGTATTTCAATTTTATCTTTAAAAAGTAGATTCACTGAATACTCTGTTACCTAGGTGATATTTTTTTTCTCAGTACTTTGAAGATATTATTCCATTTTCTCCTGGTTCCCATTGTTACCATTACAGGTCATCTTTTAGAGGAGTTCAGTTCCTTTGGAAATAATCTATTTCTGTTGGCCAGAAGTCTGGCCACAGTGTGGTTTAGCTGATTTCTCTGTTCCAGGTCTCCTAAAACTGGAATCAAGACATTAGCAGACCTGCATCCCTTAATGCTTGAGGCTCTAGGCAGGAATCTGCTCCAAGCTTGCTCAGGTTGTTGGCTGAATTCAGTTCTTGGCAGTTGTAGGACTGAACTCCCCATTTCCTTGCTGGCTGTTAGCTAGCCAAGTTCTGCCCTTGGATCCTAGAAGCCTCCCACTGGTCCTTGGACAGGGACCCCACATCTCAGAGCCAGCAAAGGCATGTTAATCCTGTTTCAACTGGGGTCTCTGACTTCTTCATGGCTGTGTCCCTCATTTGTCTCTTGTACCACATCTCTCTGACTCCAAGCAGAGAAATTTCTGTTTTTTTTTTTTTTTTTTAATTTATTTATTTGACAGAGAGATAGACAGAAGAGCACAAGCAGAGGGAGTGGCAGAGGGAGAGGGAGAAGCAGGCTCTGCACTGAGCAGGGAACCCGATGTGGGACTCGATCCCAGGACCCTGAGATCATGACCTGAGCCGAAGGCAGACGCTTAACCATCTGAGCCACCCAGGCGCCTGAGAAATTTCTGTTTTTAAGATCTTACGTGATTACACTGGGCCCACTAAATTAATCCAAGATAATCTCCCTTACTTACATTGGCAAAGTCCTTTTGCCATGTGATGTGACACTCATATCAGGGATTAGGGTGTGGATATCTTGGGGGAGAGGGGGTTCTGCCTTCCAGATGGGTTTATATATATATATATATATATATTTAAATTATAAGCCCTTGCTTCTTACAACTTCATCTATGGGCATTCTTTGAGACCTTGGTTTAAAGTGTGTTCCTTTAGAAAATGTGCTTCTCTAAGCATGTAGGTTACTGCTAATACAGCTAAATAATTTAAATTTCCAATGTGATGTTTTCCGGTACCATGAATTCAGACCCTAACACATGTAAGTACAGGATTTTCATTAGGAATTCTCAGAGGAGCCTTATTTTCTCCTCCCCTTTCCCTGAGTCAAGGCAAGGCAAGCAAATCCTTTACAGGACAATTCCTTTTTCTTCTCTGATTTGCACTGCATTGACCAGCAGGGGCTGACAACATCCTCAGGCTGGACATCAACTCCAGGCTCCCACCCTGCAGCTCTAGCTCGGCTTCTCACTGTTCATCTGGGTCAGCTCCTCCCTCTCTCGGATCATCACTTACTGTAGCTTCACTCAGACATTCAGGAAGACACATTTACATGGGAAAAAATACTCACCTACCCCAGTCCCAGGAAATTATTCTTTATTTACCCTGTGATTTGTAAAACCCTACACCCCAGCAGTGAGATTTTCAGACACATAACCTGACCTCTACTTTTGTTTCTCTCTGTTTTGTCATCCCTGTCCCAAAGGGAATGAGTTTAAGGAGAAAGGAAAAAGAAGACCAACTTTCATGCCATGTAAACAAGAAGAATAAAAGGGTCACAAGTATGTTAAAATAATATCCTTAAATTTTAATTTATCTTCCAAGTGACTTTTTAAAAACTTGATTTTTTTTTCAAAAAGATTTAAATTTGGGGGTTTTTTTGTGGGTAGTTCTTATGTGTTCTGAGAATCCTTCAGTTTAACTACATTGTTTGGATTAATTTAATATGGAGAAGACAAAGCCCAAGATAATTTTAAAAGAGAAAGCTAAAAAAGGAAGGTTTAAAGTCAAATATGTATCTTCCCTTAAGTGTGACAGTGTTCTTTGTGTCATTTGAGTCTGTAACAAGTTATTTGTCAAGTTTTTAAAATACTGACATGCCTATTAATAGAGGTTTTTAAACTTTTGCTTTTAAGTGTAGGCGAAATTTTTTATTAACCAGACTTGGAATGTCTAGAATACTTTCATCTTCAGATCCCTTGGAATTCTTTCTTTGCTTTACTGGATAAATATTTGTTAAGAGCCTGTTATTAAGAGCCTGTAGTGTTATTTATTAATAACGTTAATAACTGTTATTAAGAACACTTTATTAGCCACAGGAGAAACAGATAGGAGCAAGATCAATATCCCATGGGACTCAACTTCTGGTGGAAGAGACAAAAAGAAAAGCAAAGCAAAAGAAAATATAGTATAATATCAGGAAGTGATAAGTGCTCTGAAGGAAATGATAATGCAGGCTCAGGGGACAGTGGTTGGAGTGGGGACGTTTGAAGCAAGATGGCTAATGAATCCTTGTAAGGAGGTGATCTGAGCAGACACCTGAATGGGGGACGGAAGTCCTGTGATGATCTTACCCAAGAGCAAACCTCCAATGTGTTTTCTGACTACTGGAGAATCCAGATCTAAAAACCCAACTTGTGAAATAATGAACAGTAGAAAAGCAGACCTAACATTTTTGTAAAGATAAAAATCAACTTCCTGTTTTGGCATTACAAGTCATGGGACTCAAAGATCCCATAGACATAAACACTCATTTATATGGATCTCTGCCAAGGAAAAGTACAAATCCTTACCAAGCACATTACACGCACAGATAAGAACTCATGCCTCCAACAAGCTGTTAAGAGAGAAGAAAAATATGCCTAGGTCATAAATTGCTAGAGATCAAATTTTCTTCAGAGTTTTGACCGGCTTCTGACCATTTACAAAAGTGAAAACTTCTGAGGAGAACATCTAGGTGATTAAGCATGAAACAATGAAAGGAAGTCTCAGCCTGTCTCCCGGCCGTGCGCAAAATGGAGCTAGCTCTGCTTCTTGCACGTGAGGCAGTTTTGACAAACCCAGACTCGTCTGTTCCACTCACAGGGTTTGTTGTTTTAGGGCAAATGTGTTCTATATAACTCTTCATAAAAATGCACGCATTTTTAAAATTAGTATGTATTGAGTCCAACAGCCTATATTAACATAAAATGTGTACTTGAAAATAGAGCTAATATTTGAAGAATCCCACTCTGTTTTTGTAAGAATTTAGAAGTATTTCGGGGCGCCTGGGTGGCTCAGTTGGTTAAGCGACTGCCCTCGGCTCAGGTCATGATCCTGGAGTCCCGGGATCGAGTCCCGCATCGGGCTCCCTGCTCGGCAGGGGGTCTGCTTCTCCCTCTGACCTTCCTCCCTCTCATGCTCTCTGTCTCTCATTCTCTCTCTCTCAAATAAATAAATAAAATCTTTAAAAAAAAAAAGAATTTAGAAGTATTTCAATACACTTTCATCCAGATTATGTTTTTCCAATATAAGATGGTCTTTTAATTTTCTATTTTTATCATTTTTTTTCAACAAATGTTGAAAAGCAAATCAGGTCTGAATGTAAGTTAGTGCAGTTAAGCGCAGTCTGGTATTGCCTGTGCTCAGAGGATCTGGTCTAAACTAATAAAGCTAAAACTAAGAAAGACTCTTGAAATTTTAACTTATCTACATCTCCTGAAAAGTCTTATGTAATTCTTTCCTATAGTCACACCCACAATATCCCTGTGTGAATTGCAGTGATTGTTCTCCTCTGTTCATATTGACCGTCCTACCTTCTTACTCTCTCCCCTTGGTAAAATTATTCTCATACTTTCCCATGGAGGACAAAAGTCATCACTTTTCTCAGACATCTCCATGAAAAACATTACTGTGATCATTGTACTTCTCGCTATAGCACTGAACATTCTATTACAGTTGAATGTTAGTATTTATGTTTCCCTTGCTTGATTTTAAACAGGCTCTTTCTGTGTGGAAATCATCCTTTTCATACTTAAATACCAATGGAAGAGTAATAAAAATTAAATATAAATTGCATTTTAGATAAATATTTATGAAACGACGTGAATAACTTTTCAAAATTGATATGCCAAATGGAAAAGAGACATGTTAAGAATTTTAATAAATAACTGAGATTTATAAAAATGGGTATTAGGTAAAATTAATTAATTGTACTTGACTAGATTATGGATTTCCAGAATTCCCCACCCCACCCTTCTCATCTTACTGTATAAATCTAATTGTCAAATGTTGGAAGTGGTCTCTTTCTCTATTCTATATAAATTTAGCCCAGAGTGCTGTAGCTGAGATTTTAGAATCTTCCTATGTATGTCAGTAGGAGTTGGAGAAGGAACAAGAAAAGGAGCCTCTTACCCCAAAAGCAGTTTGGAGGTGGCCCAGAGGAAGAAACTTAGTAATTTAGCTGAGGAAATGACGAGAAGGAAATTGTTTTGTGTCTCAGGAACCATGTGGAATTCCAAGATAAGAAAAACAGTTGCTAATTTGAGTATAAAAGCAGGAAACATGATACACTTGTTTCCTTTTATGCAAACACAATATATGAGGGGTTGTGTGAAAATTATTTTTCTCTTGCTGAACCACAAAGGCATATAGAATCAAAGTGCTTCTTTTGGACATACTGGCTTTTCTTTCTTTCTTTTTTTCTTCTGTTTCTTCTATTTCTTGTGGATATTATGGCTAATAACACAACAAGTTTAGGGAGTCCATGGCCAGAAAACTTTTGGGGTAAGATATTTTCTTTAACTGTTTTTAATTTAGAATTAGGATACAGAAAATATACTGCATAATTTATTAAAACATTGAAAATCTCTGAGACATTTTGTTTACCATAAACTGATTATTTAAGTTTTCATAAGTTTTTTATAATAAGTACATTCATGTATAGTGTCTTTAAAGTGGGTTATGAAGACACTCAAGAAGAATCTGGGCAACAAGTATAGATTTTGGCTGGTGTTACAAAATATAATTAGAAAATAATGAGAATAAAAATGAGAAAAATTCAAGATGGAAGTAATTGTTATTTAGAATATGATAATGTGGATTTTGTGGGAAAATTAAGTTTTATTTGTCTTAAGGTTGTAAATTATATATCTTATTTAATTAAATCAAGAATTGGTATAGAGGTTATTTTAGCTTACATTGTCAATGTTATACTCTTTACTTTTCAAAGTGAATCAAAATAACAAAATCTATACTTCAGGAGTGTGATGACACAGATAAAATAAGGAATCTTATGAAATTAGAGGAAGACAAAAACTATAGTAGAAAAAGTTCGCTGGAAATAACATCACATATAACATTAAAAGGAAACTTATCACAGGGAAAAAAAGAAGCAACATAAAAGCACTTTTTGGCTGAGTTCAGACACAGCTACTAGGTAGTTAGGGTCAATAGCAGGGTAGAGCTGAGGTTGAAATAGCCAGTTCTTCAAGGCTAAAGAAGGGAAGGGCAAGGGAAGAAGGGCTAAGATGTAAAACTGGCAACTATTTTTGGATTCAGGGAAATTTTTAAAATAAAGGGAGCAATTTCAGTTAAATTCAGAAAAAAATTTTTTTAAAGGAGACAATGGAGTTTATGAAAAGATCAATAGTCCTATTTATCAGTCCAGAACAAGTGTTTAGTTCTCTCAGAGAACTATTTCATACTTTCTTTTGTGATTTGTGGGGATACTTTGGAAACTATCAGTGAAAGTGAGCAGCAGTGTTGACCGTCCCTAACATCCTCACCTAGCTGTCTGCCATCATACAAATGTGCATGAAGGGAATTAATGCGTTCTTGTTTTTACCATCGACCCTTTGTGTTTGCTTCAGGCCTGGAAAGGAGGGATATTAGTGAACATCCTAATCTAATTATTAAAAAAAATAAGAAGAAAGTAAATTATGTTTGCATATTGTAAAGAACGGCTTTGGTGATAAGTAATTCCAAGTAGACAACCAACACACAATAAGCCTTAGAATTATGGAAGTCTTCATTATATATATTTGTTACCATACTGCTTGTTGTCCTCATTTATACTGAAAGTGAATATACCAGATACAAACTGAACATAGCTAGAGTGTGTTTACACTAAATTCATCATTACAAAAATTACCGTACAAATTATTCAGAAGTAAAGTAGTTCTTACTGTAAAAATTAATCTGTAAAAGCCAGATCTCTTTTTTAAAGACCATTAGAAGTTAAATTTCAGGTTTACTTAAGTAAAAGAAATTATTAGCCACTGACTAAAACATGGGTAATAATCATAAAATAAATCTGAATTGATAAGAGAATGCTTAATTGAAGTCTATTTACCAATCCTAAAAACATTGATTTTTTTTTAAATATAGAAATTTGTGCTGGAGAAAGAATTCAAACTTATTGCTCCAAAGATAGTTGCTAGTGTTTCTTTGTCTTAGTATGTGAATACAAAGGAAAATAGATGGAAATAGTGAAAACCAGGAAGGGGAGTGTTACATTGATAAGCATTAACAAAACCAATACAAATATATTGAACAGATATATTGGGGATGATTTGGGGAAAAAATATGAAAGATTACATTATTTCTTCTGGGGCAAAAAATGTTAAGTGTAAAATGTAAAAATCTGAATGTAAATATACTAAATGTAAAAATTTCCTAAGCTACAAATGTTGACCTTTTAAATTTTTATTTCTTTTTTGTATCTAAATCAATATCTATTGTGATCTCGGATTCCACAAATATATTATTTTGAAAATTTTATAAAGTACAGTGCAATGTGTTGTCTCTTGCACCCAAACTCAATTATCTGCTTGACATTTCAAATTTAGAGAATAAAGATAGAATAGATGAGAAAAGCAAAACTTGTGCGTTGAACCATATGCATTTCTCAAACTTAACACACTTAAGATGTATAAAAAGTTGTTTTCCGGATATGATATTTTTGGTTTACTTTATTGAATGCTGAAAAATAAGATAACGATACCAGGTTATTACCAATAATAATAGCTCGTGTTTTCATGGTGATCACCCACTAAAACTTACTTAATGGTCTGCAAGCATTATAGTAATCAGTGCAAGAAGGAACAAAAAAATTGGTTTGAGACGGACAACACAGCTGAAGACCACCGTGTGTTTCCCACTTTTACTTTCTGTAATGCATTTCCCTTCTCTGTGAAAATTCCCCACCGAAGCAGCAGGAACCAGAACCTGTAAGTTTGCTGCATCCTGCCTTCATGAAACAGTGGACACGTATCTTTAAACTTGGTTATCTTTTCGGTACTTAAGAGTCCTAAAGAAGACATAGTTTTGGTTGAATTTCCTGCCTCACCATGCATTTTTTTCTCTTGGCCAGCACTGAAAAATTAAGAGTTATTGGTTCGGGGTCTTGCATTTATTTATTCACCTCATTTAATCTTTACCAAAACTATGTCTGTCTTCAAGAAGATCACAGTCTTAGAAGAGATTGTATCTCCATACATATGCAAATATATGCCTATATTGTTATGGAGTAACATAAGACAATATATGGGAAAATGGCAACAATTGTTATGAGTTGTTTTTTTTTTTTTAAAGATTTTATTTATTTATTTGAGAGAGAGAGAATGAGAGACAGAGAGCATGAGAGGGAGGAGGGTCAGAGGGAGAAGCAGACTCCCTGCCGAGCCGGGAGCCCGATGCGGGACTCGATTCCGGGACTCCAGGATCATGACCTGAGCCGAAGGCAGTCGCCCAACCAACTGAGCCACCCAGGCGCCCCTGTTATGAGTTTTTTAAAAAATAGCCGAAATGGTCCCAAAATCTTTCTTAGAAGAAAAAATGAGGCTTTACCTGTTCCTATAAGTCAGATAAGGTTCAAAGAGAGAGATAATCCTTGGGAGGACATTTTAGTCATTCATTTTCCCTACATTAACTTACTAACCCATTCATCTACAGATCCAGTTTATTAGTTTACACAGAAGCACTGACTGACCATCCACTATGTATTAGTCGGTGGGTTAAGGTGTTAGTGATGCAAGTAAGGCATAGTTGGACAATTTCAGGGAATTCAGAAGAAATGTTACCGGCCAATATACAGAAGCAAAAACACACGAGCCACGTTTGTGGAGGTGAATGACGAGGCAGATTTGTGTAAAGTTTTGAATGTCAGTATAAAAGTTTGACTTGATTTTACAAAATAATTTGCAATTTTGTGACTTCAGATCTCCCTGTTTTCCTCTTCCTTAGGACTTTTCTCTAAGGTTGGAAAGGGCATAGTGTGTTGGGGGGGGTTATATACTCTGGAGGGTTTTGGAAGAAGAGGGCCTCTGATTCTTGATCAAGTTCTGGTCTTTGCTGACATCTGCTGATGCATATTTCTCATCTGTTTTTAGGACATTGCCCTTTCCCTCCTTGTCTCCGCTGCTGGTGGCTTTTACCATAAAATCTGGCTCATGTGGTCTATGCAACATTTGTTAATGGAATGGTTTTTCCTTTCTTTATGTCCCCTCTGGTCTACTGCCTTTCATTCAGGTACTTTTCCATCTGTTTCAGTGGTCCAGAACAATACTGAATGCTCTCCCACAATCCTCGAGTTGTAAAAGCCTCGGCTGTTTATCAGGTGCCCTAGACCCGCATGTACCCATGTCTACCCTCCCCACTTCTACTTTGCCCATCAGACACCCGGGGTTTCTCAAAGGGCCCTGTCATCTTCCCCATTTGGATCCCAGAAAGCTAAGAATAGATACCAGCTTCTCTGGGATTCCCTAAATCAATCTAGAACTCATCACAGGCGGAGACAGAGTGATGATCACTTCTCCAAAACCCTTACTAGTCACGTACTTTATAGATTGTCTCCTTGTCTCTCCAAAAGTTCTTTTTGCATTGCTTCTGATAATTGACTTGTTATGTACCGAATGTTTGTGTCATTCCCCTCATCCCCTTCAAATTCGTAAGTTGAAGCTCTGACCCTTAGTGCAATGGATGGTATTTGGAGATGGGGCCTTTGGGAGGTAATTAGGTTTAGATTAGGTCATGAGTTTGGGGGCTACATGATGCGTTTAGTGGCCTGAGAAAAAAAGGAAGAGAGATTGCTCTCTCTCCCAATCTCTGCGAGTGTGTACTGAGGAAAAGTCAAGTGAGGACACAGCAAGAAGAAGCAAGGAAGGAAGCAAGCTAGGAAGTTCTCACCAGCCCCGGATCATGCTGGCACCTTGATCTTGGACTTCCTAGCCCCCAGGACTATGAGAAACAAGTGTCTGTTGTTTAAGATATGCAGGCTATGGTATTTTGTAATGCAGCCCACGTTGACAAGGACATGACCCATAGACTATGGTTCCTTTTTCCCAATACTGTTCTTTATGGTAAAAAGATATATTTTTGAGTCCTTTATACTCTTAACATTTTGAAAGTCCAACAAACAAAACACTCTTATCTCTCTCAAAATATCTAGTGAATTACAGTAAAACAGCTGGTTTTCAAGGTTTTTATCTATTTGTTTTCCTCTATTCTATTTATTTAATAATCCAGTTAGAAATTCTAAGCATCAGTTTTTTCTTTTTCTATGTATGCTTGCTAACAGTACTAATCCTCTCCAAGGTAATCAAAGAAATGAAGGGTTGTGAATTGATTTATTGGGTAGTCAAATGTCAAGGGGGAGAAAAACCTTAGTTAGTAGCTGAAAATTCTATTCTTCGGCCTGTAAAAATATTGGCTCTTAGGAGTCTACCCCCTGCAGATGGGAGGAGGATGTTTCCAGAGAAACTGGGGACGGAGTGAGCTTACGGACT